AAGTAAGGCCGAATTGACAATTTTTATCTAATAGATTGAAACTGGCACGATTCAGAAGATGTGAGCAAAGGTTTAGTTTGTTTTCTTGCGCCGCAGATATCGAAACATTTCCTTCTCTYCTCATAAAATCGACTATCACCTCGATCTTTTTTAGGACGCCATTGTWRTTGAATTWTCSGAGTTTGATGTGCCYCCGTGAAGTAGTAGTAGTAACTCTTGGAGTGCGAGGGTGATGTRCAGGTGGTGGTTGTTGCGGCTGCTGAACCGCGTACGCGATTAGTATTGTTGGGCGACGTMATTGYTAATAGTTGCACTGCCGTAGAGCCTATGTGTTGGCAGCATGAGGTCACATAATTTGTGGGCTACTCCCTATGATGTTAAAGTCTGAATCGGTCTAAAATGGTTCCATCCAATGTATGTGGGGGAATTTGGATGGAGTCTTTTAGCGCATATGYAGCAGACACATTTTTCAGGGCTCGCGTTGGACTCAAAGCCAGTATAAATCATATATGGCTGCTARAGTTTGCTCTAGTGATAACAAGATACAGGTTTTTCCTGCCGATCCAAAGTGGCTTAGGTTATCGAAATAATATAGATATTTTTTAAAGTCTTGTTTCGACCCCTAAAAGTAACTATGGAGATATAATAGGTTAATTTCGCACAAAAATCATGAAAGATATTTTTTTTCTTTTTTCAAATAACTTCAGTTACTTTTTTTTATAATGTGAACCATGAGATTTCTCAATTTATCARAACAAAATTCAGTATATTTATAATTCAACATTAATAATACAGTACAGAGCATTTGAGAGTTTTTTTTTAAACGTTAAAATTTCAATCTAAGCAAATAACTTTTTTTTCTTCGTGCTAAACCAATGATTAAAATCTAAACGCAAGAGTAACTGCGACAATGGAGTTGTAGTCGGATTCGTTTTCAAACCTATTAGATAATTAATTAATTGATCCATCAGCATACCAAATCGTTCATCTTGTTGATCAATATAATCTTTAATCACCATCCCACACAAGTCTTGTCTCAAAACGTTACTTAAATTGTCGCACACACTGAATATATCGATTAAGATATTATAAATCGGATTATTTGATTGTGAGACTATAAACTGATTGATATTTAGCTTATTACTCTCTTCGTTAGTCAGTAAAAAGCAGAGTGAAAGTATATTGGCCAGAAATATGCTGTGCGCTTTTTGAATTTCCTCAAAATCCGCTTTATTTTGTATGGTATTCAAAAGTATGCTGAATTGGCTCTCCAACACATCGACTTGTATATAATACTGTAGATTATCAATGAAAAATATCAATTGGTTTAATAGGCTTGTCAGTTTGAATTTTTCACGTGAGCATAATTTGGTGCGTCGCACCTTATTACYCCACATCATATGTAGCTCGAATTGCATTTTTTTGATTAAAAGTAGAAAACGGAAAAGAATATTATAGTTGTCGATCACTTTCGGCGAGAACAACAAATGCAATGGCCAATTAATTTTGTAATTTAGCTGCATATAATGCAAATAGTTGTGTTCTAATTCTTTTGGATTACTACTGTGCATTAGTGGTTTGGCGATACTTAGTGAGAAACGTTCCAAATCTTCAGAAACACCAACTCCATGTGCAGCAGATTCGAAAGCTTTTACGAAGTCATGCACTTTATTTTCATTGTACTTGTCTTTGCCGATTTCATAAGTGAGACGTAAAAATTCCAAGAACAATTCACCGCGGCCCAGTAAGAAATATTCTTTTATCAATTTCAGTTGCTGTACCAAATCCGCTTGATTAATTGCTATTTCAGACAAACGTGTTGTTAAATATGCCTTAATTTCATTAACGATGCTCTCGTAGTGTTGCACATTCAGTTCCTCATCGTTTTGTAGCATTTGTATCTTGCCAAAGTAAATATGCTCCTTCTCATTGCTTAAGGAGCTCTCATCCTCCAAGTCGGTGTGTTCAGTTTTGCTCCAGTTTTGGGTGARAATCTTATGTTTATTAGCATCTGCTTTAAATATAAGTATTGTTTGTCCAATGAAAAGTACCTTTTCGGCCCAACCAGWGGGTAAATAATGTGGTAAAAGTTCATAGCATATTTCATAGCGCCAAATGTCAGCGTACGTACTTGCCACTTTAGACAATGTGGTTATTGTACTAGCATGTTTGCCACTTTCCGTGCTGGCACATTTGCTGGTGTCACTCTCAGCGGCACTATTTATATTACCCTCTGAGCATTGTATGAAGAACTCGCCGTATGTATCAATTATTTTGGCATAAAGTATCCAATGCGTAAGTTGTTTGAAAAATACTACGTTCACTGCAAGTTGCAAGGTTTTAATAGCAGCGCGTATTTTCTGATCACCGTGCTCAGCATTTTGGTGCAAAAACTGCATAATTTCACAGCCATGTAGTTTTTGACTTCGTATTACACGAATTAACTTTCGCAAGTATAGCGCTAACGGTTCATATRTCTTTAAATTTCGATATATAAAAAGCAGTGAAAAATTTGTTGGATTTTTTAGATAATTTTGTTCAAGCGCAGTAATGTTGTTAAAGTAATCTTTAAGAACAGTGTCTATACCGTTTGCGAAAGCCTTTAAATAAAGACCCTTTTGCAGCGGCTCATCTGTATCGAATATTACTACATTTCTATTGACACTGTTGTTGCTGCCGCATACTTTGGCAAATTTTTCAATATCGCGTAACAAATTAATGATAGTTATAATGTCTTGTAGAACTAGCTTTTCACAAGGATGCAAGAAAGTAGAGACATCTGTTGCGGTGAAGTCTTCCAAGGATAAATACTTCGATTGCAAATTCAAGCAAGACAGCAGCACTTCATGTATCATTTTGATGGCTATCTTTCAAATTGAAAGAATCATTGAAAATACTTATTTGAACAGCTATAAATAAATCTATCTGATTATTTTATAAACAAATTTTTGTCGCGCCTTGTTTATTAAAATAGTTGAACAGCCGATTTGCAAATGTCAGTTTAATTTTTACAGCTGTCATATARCCAATGCTGCCACTAGCAAATATTACCATTGAATGGGGAATTCACACAATCGCATGTAATTATGTAGTTTTATAGGAATAATTTTATTTTTTTGATACCGCGAAAATGAAAAATATTATTAAAGTAATTAAATAATAATATATATATATATATTATTCTAATGTTTGCGAATATTTAAAATCTTTCGGAACTTATTATTATTGGACGTTGCAAAATATTGCTAGAACTCTTCAAATGTATATTGAAATAATAACTTTAARATATATGTATATAATAGATTTTCTTTTATTGGAAAAATAGATGCGAATGAAGATCCGAAATTGATCACAAGTTAAAAAGTATGCAAAACATCTTAGGTTAACTTTTAAAGGCAGAAATCGTAGCGCCTAAAATTATACTTTCATTGTAAAAAACATGTTGGATATCTCTGTTCTTGTAATTATAATTGTATTTAGTTTTTGTTTTGAAAAAATATTTTTTCAAATATGAATAAATAACAAAATCTTCACTTTGGTTTGCTTATAGTTGCACTCGGGTATATATATTGGTATATGATATAAAATGATATATCAAATATACATATATATATATACATATACCAAAGCTACACAAACATATGGATATACATACATATGTATGTGAGTACATTTCTATAAAAATACAACATAGGGAGAGCATAAAATATTACGCCGGTTGAAAAGAGAACATAACTTATTCACGAAAACGACAGATGGGAAGATATAAGCACTCACACACAGTTGGTTCGAATAGTGGCGAAACATGCATACATACGAAATATTTAGAACTGTATATATTAATGAAATATTATTTATAAGCAATTTTTGTTTYAATTAAATAAATTAAAATGCCGTCTATTTTAGGCCAAATTTTGGTTTGCTCAAATTCATTATGATTAAAATAATGTATGCTCTCTGTTTTTGAGATTTCCTATATCTTCTCTACAACAAAAGTTTTCAGAGATAATTTATAAAATATTTCATATGTAATCTCTGCACACATATGAAATACGGACATCTAGATAGCCAAAAGGGAACACACTGAATACACGAATGTTATTCGATAAGATAAGGAATGTCATTAAAGATTGATTAGATTATTAGTTTAAGTAATTTCTGCTGATGCCTATCTTAATACCTAACGCCTTACGCCTTAGCACGGACATTATAAATTTTATATACAGAAGAAGTAGCACAATAGAGTAACATGAGAAGAAAACTCTATGGTGTACTTTTTATATACATACATATGTATGTATGTGTATTGTTTACGGGCCTGGATTTGGATAACATAAGCAAACATTAAATTTGGCATGTCTTGGGTCGCTACAATATCAAAAGTACTATATTTAGGCATATCCATCTGTTCGTATATACGCGAACTAACCCCTCAGTTTTGCGGCATCTGAAAATATTCACACGTTATTGTCTCCTCAAGTGGCCGCTCTTCTGTAGGAACCACTCTTATTGGACCACTAAAGAATTTAGCTGTCATAYAAACTGCACAATCCAATTCCATTCCTTGTATGACAAATTTTACTTTTATTTATGGTGTATCTAATATAGCATATATGTATGTATAAATGACCGATCAAAATTAAGAAAAAGTTCTTTTTATACCCTTTTATGCCATAAGAAATGCTCCTATGAAGGGCGAAGTTCACGTTTTTCTTGCYTTTCATACAAACCTGTAGCTCATCTTGGAGTCGGGCAAAATGACTTCCATCAAACGCTCCCGTTTTTATTTTTTCTAGACAAATATACATAAGTTTGTGCATATGTACATATAATTGAGGTAGGTGTTGTTGTTGTTATATGGGAGGGAGAATACTCGTGCATGCTACCGTTTCAGCAGCTGTTTTTATTGAGTTAGTGTCTTCTATTGTTAATCACACGTAACTTTAGTGCTATTTAAACTTCAGTAATAGGCAAGCTTTTTTTTTTAAAAATCGTTCAATGAAAACGGCAGTGTCGTGTTGAGCAGCGAAAACGAAAGTCATTATTTAATGCCGGTACATAAAAATATAATCGGAATTGCAAATTCTACACACACAAAATGTGACARTTGAACAAATACAAAAAACAAAACAAACCACCATAGGTCGCCCATAAGTCAACCCCTCTATGCATGATAAACAAACCCCTAAATGGATTTAGAAAAATACTCACAGTGTGCTCTCGGCGCTCTACCGCGACAAATAGTATCGGTAGTGACTCTTTTCWGGGAGGCACTCAATCGTTTGACAACCACAGCAAACACATAGCCACCAGCGAAAGCATTGCGAGCGCGTCCAAATAGTACATTCGTTCCTGCCGCAGCTGCTGAATGTGTATGCAGGGCTAAGAAGGCTGCTCGTCTCTGCCGGTGCTACTGCCGGTTGTGTGCTGAGGCTCGTTAGCGGCGGCCAACGCGAATGCGGGCGTGAGCAAAAGTGAATTGCCGAGTGAATAGTGCACATTAACGGTGTGCGCTTTTTGTTTTTATTTTAATCCCCAACTTTGCATGCAGGGCCAATGCGGTGCTAAATTCGATCATACGTTCTGCTGTGACTAAGCAAGAGGAATTGATTAATTTGTTGCCTTTTTCGCTACAATATTTTCTAAACAATAATGCTGTTTGAGTTAAGMTGAAATATCGATGAAGTGGAAAATGGCAGCTAAAGTGAATTCGAATGAAAATAATTGTGTATGCAAGATTAATAGGTGATAGTGGTGGCTGAAAATTATGAAACGTGTGTGGCGTATACACACATACATAAGCATTTATATATTTTTTTAAAGTATATGCTCTAGAAGTGTAGAAAATGCAATGAAAATAGTCAACTGCAGAAATGTGTTAAAAATAAGTGCGTTCGAAGTTTATCGACATACATACGTACATAATGGTATATGTATGAATGCAAATATTTCTATATAGTGAGCTGTGAAAAAAATGCAAACAAGCAGATATTGCGTGATAAAAGTGSCAGTGGACTTTGAGTATAACGCGCTCTTAACGGTATCGCAAAAGTGTTGTGAAGGTGGATGAAAATACTTACTTAGCTTTCCAGGAACTTATAATTATTGCAGATAAGGTGAGTTCTAATCGCAATAACAAAAGTACACGTGTGCATAAAGAAATCAGTCATAATTTTTGCTATTATCAAAAAGCATGGCAATAAATGCTTACTCACCGCATTTATTTACTGCAAGCTCAAAAATTCCACGAAAAGTCGGAAAATTATTTGTAGACAAAACAATAACAATAACGTGTGTGGTTGCTATACCAATCGCTCTCTTTACTCCTTGCAAAAGTTAATATTAGAATCTCTCATAACTATTACCCCGCTCTCTTCATTGTATTGTTTGTATGTACGGTGTGCTGTCAAATTGGTTTTTTCAATTAAGTGTCAAATTATATTGTTGTGTTTACAGTTTATAGAGAAACTGAGTTTAACGCTGTTTATAAGTAATAAAAATTATCAAAGCCATATGAACAAAGGAGACCCTTAGCTCACTTTTTGGTGACTCAACTCTCGATAAAAGTCAATTTTGTCGGTATACATCTTRGAACAATAATAATAATCGATTAAAACAATTGATAAGAAAATATAAAATGAAAGGATTTACCCATCGGCTGAATAAAATAAAAACATGTGGTTGCATCGAAGCCATAATACCCTTTACAAATACAAAAGATTTGATAGAAGAACTTGATTTGGACCGATCAGTTTGTTTGACAGCTTTACTATACCTGGGTGGCCAACGGAATGTGGAGTTTCCGGATATCAGCTTATTGGGAAATTTTCGTCGTAATTCTGTCATACCAGGTTGGGCTACGTGAGGAGCTGCACCATCTTGCTGAAACCACACAGAGTTGAAAGAAATTCTCATTCGGCCTAATTCTGGATGGAAAAACTCTCTCAACATGCTCAAGTAACGGTCTCCAGTAACCGTAACKGTGTGACCGTTTTCTTCGAAGAAGTAGGGCCCGACAATGCAGCGTGATGAAACTGCACACCACACTGTGACACGAAGTGGATGCAATTCCGTCTCATGGAGTATCTGTGGGTTGGAAGCACTCCATATTCGACAATTTTGTTTGTTTATGTTGCCGTTTAAATCGAAATGTTCCTCGTCAGACATGAAAAGACAGTTCAACATGTTTCCATCCTCTTCCACCATTTGAAGCATCTTCTGGCAAAATTCCAAGCGAATCGGCAAGTCTGCCGCGCTCAGTTTGTTGGCCATTTGAATTTTATATGGGAATAAGTCCAAATCTTTGTGCATAATTGACAGTAATGACTGTCTGCTTACATCCATTTGAGCAGATAAGCTTCTTGTCGAAACACGTGGATTGTTTTGTATGGCAGCAGCTACAGCAGTGATTGTTTCCTCCGTTCGAACTGAAGGGTTTCGATGATAAGGTCTTCTGTTGACTGTCCCATGCTCGGCAAAATTGTTTACAAGTCTCATTATGGTCCATCTGCTCGGAGGATTGCCGCCAAGCGTGGTAGCGGCGGACAATCCAAATTCTTGTTTCAGTGTCCTAGTTATCCATTTTTGTTAAATGTAAAAGTCAATCTGCAAAATAAAAATAAAAAATTAACCAGATTCATTAAATAGAAAAAAAAGTTATTTAATTTTTTTTTGGTAGCGGCTTTCATCAGCCACCCTGTATATTAAATATTGTAGTATACAAGGTAAAGAAACAAGACTTTTTGAATCTATCGCCCCCTGGCGCCATCTATATGTCGACTGGTGCGTTACATCGATTGTCCAGTGAATTTCACGGCATTTAAYCTATTGGAAGTGAAGTTATCGGTGTGAAAATGAGCTTCGAACAAAGAACCAACATTAAATTTTGTTTTAAAATTGGTAAAACTTTTACCGAAACGTTTCAATTGATGAAACAAGCGAACAAGTAGGCCAACGAAAATCTCTAGAAAAGCGTGCTTTAAAATTTTCGCCGATTGTATTCAATAGAGGAATATACACTGAGACCCTGTAGTATTCTTCGCAAGTTCTCACGTAGGAATTTTCGCKTTTTGTTCCCCATTTTCCCACTCTAATTCCACCATTGGTTGTCATACAAACTGAATGATCAAAATGAAGTTCATGTATTGAAAACTCTTTTATTTGACGAGTGATCTTCATGAAGTTTGGCAATTATAAGGCTATATCCGAACGCTTTATTCAGATCGGACTATTGTAAGTGTCACATAAACTGAGGATCAAAATCAAGTTTTGTATGGAAAACTGTTTTATTTGTGAAGGGTATTATAGCATCGGTATAACCAAATTTAATTTTTTTTCTTGTTTTTGAAATTATCATATTCGGTTTGCACAATATGGTATACACATGCATACATACATATACATATAACATACAATATCAACAAGTACAATATAGCGATTCATCGCTTTATAAACATTTTCACTAGATTTGATTTTGTTATAATAAAATAATGTTATTTATAAAATAAACAAAATAATTAAATATACATATGTATATGTATGTAAATATGTACATACAGATTTCATATATATATAAAGGAAATATAGTTAAAAATTACTAATAATTTGGTTTAATCAAATACTTTTTTTTTGAAAATGTGTGAGTGATGACATATGTGTGTATATACAAGAGTACCTGAGCGGCTACGACATCATCTAGTTCTTATCACCGTGTGTTATTTATATATTATCAATGTCATTTGGGTGATTAATTAACTTAAGTCAAAAGAATACTTAACTATGGGTATATAGACATATGTACATAATTCTACATAGTTACGTTCATATGCTTTAGATACATATCATGTTCATATTTTTATTCAAAATTCGAACACTTCTAATATACATCTATACATCGGTAGGTAGACATGTACAGTTTGTGTCTGACGACGGTCCTAGACCTTTAGGATGCCCATTGTAAAATCCCTCCATCTGTTATGTCTTCTCTGAACCATCCTGGGCTTCTGATGAGGTTCATCAGTACAAAAGTTTCATCTGTGTAATCTCTGGTTGCGATTGTTTTCTTGTACAATGTTTTGTATTCGAATAAAAGTGTTTTAARGTCTCCTCTTCTTCTACTTCTTGACAGGAGTAGTCATTGCATAGTGTTCACAGTCATGTCTGCCAATTAGGCAGTGGCCTGTTAGTACTCTTACTAGAGTTCTTATGTCATTCCTATTGAATATTAATAGTTGGCATACGCGGCTCATATTCCATTCGTGCCACATTTACCTGCTTGTTCAACTAGTTAGGGATTGATTCCACCGAGACTCAGYTATATTTATAACATGTTTGGCTATTAAACATCTACAAGCATCCACAGATACATCAAAGAGCCTAATTGTAGAGTGGTGCCTTTTCTAGCAACTTCAACTGCTTCACCAATGAGCCTTGAAATAGGATGATAGATCCACGAAGAGACTATCTCTGATGAAACTCTAAAAGACTTTAGTGATTTCAAAGCCGTTTAGCTACCTGTATATCATATACCAACATGTACATATGTAAATAAAGTATGTGCACGAAAGGAACTGGTCACATAGAAATCCGCACCGCTTTGAAATTTCTAATGGTAAAATCAAAATTCAAATTTACACGCAAAGCTTACTACATTATCTACATAATTGCATTCTATTTTTTACAAAAATATAATAGGGCTACTGTAAAATTTGCAATGAATACTCACGTTCGCGAATCGGTTGTGCGCAAAAAGTTGGAAAATTCAGGCAACTATTATTTATGTTAGGTGCTTTATGAAACCAAGGGAATATATACGTTTTTAGTATCTGGCATGTTAATGATATATGGTATTGGCAAAAATAGATAAAATCGGGTCGATACTACCCCACTACTACTACTTCGTTGCTGTTGTTGTTTTAACGGTTATCTTATCCTCGTTTGGATGGTAAGGGTCATTTGCGTTGTCGTCGAGGTCATCTAACGGGAGGGCCAGGAAACGTGCTGTTTCGACGAGGTCGGACCAAAGGGAAGAGGGTGTTAGATGAGCAGGGTTAGTAGGACATGCAAAAAGGCGGCCAGTATCATGTCAGGACTCGTTGTATGCACGACATATATTGGGTATGTCTGGGTCAATTCTGGATAAGTAGGAGTTTAACATGCTACATTATCCAGAACGAAGTTGCGCTAGGGTCACTCGCGTTTCTCGCGGYAACTGGAGTTCKTCGTCTGCAATAGGTGGTGGTTTGACTCCAAGAACGACATTCACGGGAAGGGAGTCGGTGAGGTGTTGATGGCTCCACTGTGGATGGCGCTCAGTACCTGTCGAAAGTCAGTTGCGTCTGAAGTCCGGTCGGCGTACTGTAAGACGTCGTTGACGTAGACAAGRAAGTACATTTTGATGCTCCTGGGAGGCGGTTCYGCTCCAAGCAGATGGCTGCAAGGGTGATTCCTTCGGAAACATCTTAGCAGAAACTGTTTGGAGAGGAGTTCATTATGCTCCTTTACAGGAAGCATAAGCRTCTCGCTATGTAGGTGTTCGATGGGAGACATCAAGAGGCATCCCGTCGTGGTCCGGAGTGCTGTATTCTATCAGGCCTGTAGTTTCCTCATCTGCTTGCCACTGCATCCAGGCGACCATATGGGTGCTGCATAGTTAAGGACCGGCCGGCCGATTGCCTTGTAAGTTGCCAACAACGTTTTCCCCATGTACTGCCGGCTAGCGACTTGAGGATCTTGTTGCGGCTCTGTACTTTGGCGATAATTGCGGTCGTATGAGGAGAGAAGGAGCATAGACTATCGAAAGTTACACCTAAAAACTTAGGGTTATTGACAGTCGGAATTTTGACACCATCGACTGCAATATTAAGCTCAAGTCTATACTCCTTCGTCCAGTTCGTGAATATGGTCGCTGTGGATTTGGTGGTGGAAAGTGTGAGGTTTCGTGCAGTGAGGAAACGAGAAAGGTCAGAGAGGTAGTTGTTTACTTTCGTACACATGCCATCGATTCCAGTGCCCGACGTCAATATCGTACAGTTATCAGCGTACGAAGTTATGGAAACCCCTTCTGGTGGTTGCGGGAGTTTCGAGATGCAGAAGTTAAACTTATCGAATCGTCACA